GTACACATAATTTTGCGTCATGATTTGCTCACTAAAGGACATGTTTTCTAAATAGAAATACTGATAAATAAATATAAGCAAAAACTAAAGGAGATTTCACTTCAAGAGCAAAACCTAAATGTTTACAGTACATGATAATTTTCAAGTCCCTTTTATACACATCATCTTAAGTCACTTTATTTATTGAATTTTTAATTATAACCAAATAACAGTTTTAAATATTATTAAAATTGGTTGTAATAAATAAACTCTCTAAAAATGATATCTGGAAAACTATATTGTCTTTGTCTTCTTTGGTTTTCTGGACTCAGTTTGTACTAATTAAGTACACAATATTTACTAACATATATAATATGAACCACATACTTACCAAAGTATTGTCTTATATCTGATCATAGAAGACTGAAAATTTTAGTAATTATTTGTTTATAATTTATCTGGTTACAATACATCATTGTGTCAAGACAGACCTTAGAAAAAGGAGAAATGTTGCATCACTGATTTCATTTTCCAGGTATTTCAGTCTGTATCTAATTTTATAAATTTTACTGCCTCAAACTTTTTGATCCCCATTCACATCCCAGTGTAAAAGTATTTTCAAAAGTGATAAAACAATTCTGTCAGTCCAGAATCTCATTGACTTTGTTATAGTCAATGATTCTCTGCTCCTCAGCTAAGACGAAGTGTTACAGTCCAGGGGATCGTTCTAGAATAGTAATGTCTGTTCCCTAATGTGTTCACTTTAAGCAGTATTTCCATAAGTATTACCTCTCGACATAATCTAACTTAGTCATTTACGGTTATGAATATCTAATATCTAACTCTTAAGTCAAACTGATCTGTTTCAATGAATCCCCAACATTTGTTAAAAACAGATACCCTAGTTATTTCAGTAAGACATTTCAAAAATTTTCTCCAAAATATTGAGCTCTAGTAGTATAGATTCTGCCTAGAAGACCTAGAAATACCTTATTATAGCTGAAATACCAAGCCAAAACTTAGCTGCTGGCTGTTGAAAATGACAAAAATTTCTCATATTGTTTTAAATAAATTATAAGTGCTTCCAATATATAAATAATGTAAACTTGAAACATGGAAAATATTTGTGAATTTAATAAGCCCTTTTTGAAAGTAAGTGACAGGATGAAACATCACTTTTCTACATATGTAGTGTGACATTTTCATTTTGTTCCAAGATATTTTACTTTTTCTGTGATTCTGGAGTTTGTAAACATGCCATAATATGGTGATTACATAACGATGATTTCATGGGTCTAGCTTAGTATAAAGGTGGCTAGACAGAGCAGCCAAATCGATTTCTTTTTAACTTTGTGGAAAGAGACGAAAGGAAATTGAATGCAAAATCTACATTAAAACCATATTAGAATTATAACTCAACGATCTGTTACACATGATATGAGAACCAGATGTAGCCAAGCGTTAGTTATTTTGCTATGATATCCAGCCAACAAGTTAAGTTCAAAAAATCCTTTGTTTAAACCATGCCTTGTTTTGTTACCCACAATGTTCCAAATGTATATGACCTGACACTATCTCTTGTTGTCTCCTCTTGCCAAAGGTACTCAGAGGCAGGACTGTCCCTAGGCAAAATCATGAAGTAGGTGAAACTTGTGTTCATTCCCTACCCTTTTGCAATGACAATCTCACCTTAGATTCTCTCCACCTTCCTGTCCCCAGGTACCTACTCCAGTTGCTCATTGCTCTGGGTTCACCCTCTGTTTTCCAGGGAGCTCATGCTATCTCCTGTTGCCCAATCCTTATGTGATTGTATAATTTCCCTTATCAAAAATGTTCAGTGGCTCCCCAAGAGGAACTGGGCAATCAAGATCCTCCCTTCTTACCTTTTGAGACTCATTTCCCACTCTCCCCTCCACATGTTCTACTGCAAGTAGATCACCTACCTTGCCATTTTTATTTACATACCATTTCCCATGTTGTTCTTTTTGCCTGAACTGGCCTTGACCTCTCATCTCCATCTATGAAAATCCTACTCATCTTCAAGACTCCGCTCATCTGCACCTCCTCTAAGTGCCCTACCTGATCACCCCCAGCCTCTCTCCTCCGCACCTCATCCATACCACTCATGGCACTTAACACATATTGCTTTGAATTATAATATTTATGTATGTGTCTTGTCTCCAGGCACTGTGCTGGGCGCTTTACAAACGTAATCTCTTTTAAATTTCACAACAATCCAATGAGGTAGGTATTATACCACTTACCAGCTGAGAAAACTGAGGCTCAAATGGGTTAAATAGTTTGCCCAAGGTCACACCGCTAGAAAGTCACAGAGCTAAGACTTGAACCGAGGCCTGTCTGAATCCATAACACATATTGTTTCCAATATACCATATTGCCATCTTCTCAACTCTTTTCCATCTTCCGAAAGATAGTATGGGAGTTTAAGACAGAGGAAAAAGCCAGCCTAGATTTTCAGATAAACAAATATGTATCCAACAAAGAAATATAGTTTATTGAATATTACTACATTCTTAGCTAGAACTGATAGGTTAACTTTAACTACAATCCATGATGAATTCAAGTAAAATGTCAGAGAAAAAAGAAAAAGTCCTTATCTAATACCTAGAGTGACCAGAACAAATAAACATGCTGTAAGAAGAGAATGTTCAAAGCGGTTTATAATTCAAGAAAGCCTGCATAGCATTGGTCTCTCTCTCAGCACTCTTGGAAAATAAGTACAGGGAAAAGAAGTAAATGTAGAGTTGACTAGGGAAGCCGTCCTATAAGTCCCCAGGATTTATTTGGGGTAGTTGGGGTGGCTGACGATAGGATTACCATTCTAAATCTCTTATGAATTAACAATCCCTATATTAAGTATAAACCCACTTTTTTCATTCTTTCTCCAGTGTGGCATCTTGGATAAATTAGCAGAGAGAAGCTCATTGTTCCTAAGGAGAAAATTTCATCCTAAATGGACAGCTTTTACAACTGCCCTTTTGAATACCCAGGACCCAGGAGTTTCAGCTCAGCCCTGGAAAGCTCTGTTCCAGCCAGTGTTCAGCCTAGGCCAGCCTCCCACAAGTCACATAGCAGAGGACTCATCCTTGGGAAGAATTTAGACTTTGGATCTCTATGTATTTTAACACCACTTTTTACCTCTCCCAAGGCAAAAAACAAAAACCTTTCATTTCTGATGTTTTATTCTCTTCTCATTTCCTAGTCCCCCTGCTTGTCATATTATCAGTTGCATATTTTTTTAACATGAGTAAATGAGCAAGATCCTTAGGTTTAAAGAGGCCATTCAGTTACCATTAAACGTGAGTTCTTAGTGCACTTCTATTAACTTCTGACAGTCATCTCAATTGTGTTTGCAAACTCTATTTCAACTCACGTATGCTCTCTTTACACCAATCCTATTCATGTATGGCTCCATACTCTTGTTCCTCTTACCAATCTTAATAATAATTTAAAAAATATTATTGCATGCAATCTAAGCATACATACAGCAAATCATACTGTACATCAGGCAGGCCCTGTGTTAAGAATCCTGAGAATTTTCATTTTAGTTATGTGCTAAATCTGAGGAATTCAAGGATCCCAACAGGAAAACCACCTTCAACAACACTGGGAAAAGGGAAAAAACTCAAACATGGAAGCTTTTTTTTTTTTTTTTTTTTTTTTTTTTCCTGTAGCACTTTTATGGGTTTTCTTATGCTTTACAAAAGTCCTCCAAACACATTCACTTTTTTTCTAACTTTTTATTTTGAAGTAAGTATAGATTCACAGGAAGTTACAAAAGAAATTTATAGGAAGGTCCTGTATACCCTTTATCCAGCTTCTCCCAGTGGTTACATATTAATTATAATACACTATCAGCTCCAGGAATTTAATGTTGTTCTAATTCACTTTTAAATTTCAAAAAGGAAAAAATAAATCCATAAGGACAGCCTGAGAAATTTTAAATTCCATTCTGTATTTTCTTCCTATCCCAAGTGGTAACCATACTGAGAATCCTGGTAAACAAGAGGTGGTATGCCTATACAGCTACAAGGAAAGTCCCTCCTGGTTGTCAGAGATGATGCTCAGTTCTCATTCAAATCCTAGGCCAGTGTCATAGTAGAAACGTGGAAAGGACCCCACATCAGAAGACTTGGGTTGAAATCTGGTTCTGCCTCCAAATGTGTGACCTTGAGCAAGTCAATTGACCTTTCAAGCTTCAATGTCTTCATCTATAAAATGGAGAAAATAATTCTCCTGCCTACTTCATAGGGTTGTTGTGAGGATCAGATGTGATGCTGTATACGAAGGGATGAGGTAGGCTGTGAATCAGCAATCATGACGTTTAAATTCTTTTCTGAAACTATTGCCCATTATAAAAGTATAATTTCTCAGAGGTGGTCTTATTCTTAGAAACAGAACAAAACTACCTCCTTATTAGTCATGTGGCCTAGTATTTTCATCATATGTAAATATCTCTCCTTTCTGACATTCTTAGCAGGACAGGATCTAGCAATATATGGAATAAGCACTCTGTGACTCATTACCTACACACCCCTGAGGCATATGATCTATTTTAAAATAAGCATTTCTTAACATTTTCTTCCATGAGGTTTAATGCATTTTAAGTAGCTTTTATTTTTTATTCTGACTGCAAGATTCATCCTTACTTTTTTTTTCATGCCATGAGATGTACAGTAGATGCTCTTGACAATAGTGAGAAATTATAAGGTTACCAGATTAGACAGTGGATGGTTTATGACGTAGAAATGGAAATCATCCAAGCAATGTTGTTCCTTAGTTTGTCTGGATATCTAATATAAACTCCCAACTCACTGGTGGATTCTGGTGTGTGGGTAGTAAAAATGCTAGTCTTGGCAGTTAGGGTGGAAAAATATATAGGAGAAAATAAACTTAAATCATGGAAAGTAAAGATAAAAGTCTTTGTGTGTACTGAATGTTTTGGGAACCACAATGAAAATGTTAAAATCTATTTTCTTCCCTTTCCCTCCTATACACAGGCTGGCATGGCTCTGACCTATGATCCCACAGCTGCCATACAGAATGGGTAAGTTGACCACATTCTCTCTATTTTAATTGCAAAGACATCTTTGAGCTCTGAATCAGTACCAAAGAAAAATGTTCAAATTTGTTTTGTTTTTATTTTACATCTTTAAACAAAAACTTTAGACCAAACATTTCTTACCATTGTATTTTTTTTCATTCCCATAAGTGATTCTGATCTCTCATTTTCACAAGGACTTTGTCCATATTAAATCCTTCCCTCTTCTCTCTCTCTCTCTCTCTCTCTCTCTCTCTGGTTGGTGAAAGTATGAGGAACAGGATGTAAAGGAGTAGTATGGATAAAGCTAGGCTGGGGCACTTATCTGTGTGTCTCTAGGACAAGAGTGTTGCCCCTGCTAATGACTATAAAGTTTGGCTTTCCATAATTTTTAGTATGTGCCGAAGTTAATTTCTACATTAATAATGCTTTTACTCTTTTTACTCTGGTGATCAAGAGAATGGTGATGGATAGAAATCAAGTTAGTAACTCAGGCGATTGTATCTCCATTCTTCATTTTAATAAGCATCTGGAAATCTTCAGCCTCTTACTTAGACCATGTCACATAGCTTAAAATTCCTCCTCTGAAAAATAAGAGTGTTAACTAACATGATCTGGCCTCTCTACAGTTCTGTGCATTCTGAATATCTTTGGTTGAAGTTTTCTTCTCACTCCCTAATCCCTTCTCTTTGCTTTGGCTTTCTTGCAGTTGGCAATAATTATTCTTTGGTTGGTTGCTTGTTTTATTTTTACAGCCTTTTATTTTGATTTCTCTATGGCTTTCAGTTGTCTGTCTTTCAGTCTCCTTAAAGAAGCAATCATGATGAAGGCCTCATTGGTCAATATAGGGGCAGAATGAATTAAACCTCATTTTGTATTTGGTCAATGGCCTTTAAAATCTGTGGGATGTTGAAAGTGTTTGAATTGTTATAAGTGTACCTCTTACTCTTATAGTTATTCGTTCAGGCAGTCATTTATTTAGGCATTCAACAAACATCTAGTAAGTCTGCCAGGCACAGTGCTATGTTCTGCAGGTTTAAAAAAATAGTGTATGAGACAAGGTCTTTTCCTTCAACAAGGTCACAGTCTTCTCTTCCATAAAAGAGTAAACACTGGTGGTACACTAGGCTAGGAGTCTAGTCTTTTCTCCTTTCGTTGATTAGAATTTCCCTCTAGGAGTGAAAATTAAGGATAGCCTTTCATTTATCCAATAAGCATTTACTTATTTCCAACAAGGCACTACAAACTCAGTGGGTAGAAAAAAGTAAAGACATGGGGAAGAAAGTCCTCTAGAATCATATTGTATAAATGGAGATAAAATAGCTACTCAAAAGGTAAAACATAAGGCATTATGTGTTAAGTGAACCTGACTAAAAAAAGGGTGCTATAATGGAAGGAATGACATTTATTGAATACGTGTTATGCACTGAGTATATTTTTTATTTATTTATTTATTTTTCCTTTTTGTCTTTTTCCGTGTCTGGCAACGGATCGCAACCCTCAGTGTCGCCCCCATACCGGACCGGGACCGGCAACGGGATCGCAACCCTCGGTGTTGCCCCCGCGCCTCGCTCAGCCAGTGAGCGGGAACCGGTCTGTATGTGGGATCCGAACCCTCGGCGGGAGCGCCACCACACTCCCAAGCGGTGCACTATAGCAGTGCGCCACCGGGCCGGCCCCTATATTTGTTATTTAATTGTACATAGTTTCAGAATCAAATTAATACACTGATTACAATTAGAAATTTATTTTGAAAACTTGCACACATCCAGAAAAATAAAAATGAGTTGAATAAATACTTGTATGCCCATTAATTAGGTTCAGTAAGTGTTAAATTTTGTAGCATTTTACATGCATGCATATGCATGTATGTATTATATATATATATCTTCCTATCTATTATATATAAGTTATATATCTACTTACTAAAAGTAAGATAATCTGAAGGAACTATTTAATCATGCATTAAACAAATAGCCACCAAACAATTCTGTATTCAGGGCCCTCCATCAAGGATTGGGGACATACTGGTGAATAACACAGGCTCAGTCTTTGCTCTCCTACATTGTAGTGATAGAAATTGACATTAAAAAATTTCATTATTTATATACAGTGAGCACCCAGTGGTGAATTGCAGAGTGTTATGAAGAGTCTGGCCTTGTGTGGGTGACTATCAAGACTTCTCTGGACATGTGATGCCTGGAGCTGAGCTCTGACAACACTTAACGACTAACATATGTTAAATTTGATGGCAAAAGAGAGAGAAACAAAAGCAACTCTGAAATTTTAATCCTGGAAGGACTGGTGGTACCATTAGCAGAAAGACAAGGAAATAAGTGGGGAAAGATAATTTGCTCAATTTCAAACATGCTTGATTCTGAGACTCACTACAACAAAAGCCATCAGGAGTCTACCATAAAAATGGAACTGGAATTAGAGAATGAAGCCTTCTATGCTTTAGTCAATCATTCTTCAGTGAACAATTTTAAATTTTCTAAAGGCATAATTTTCCAAGTACTCATTCCTGTTCATTACAAACCTAAAGAGAAAAATTAAAGATTTCAGGTCCTAATCCAAGCAGTTAGAGGTGAACTTTGGGTGGTGCCATGTTGGAGGTGGTGAGGGCTGGCTAGTCCACGGTAAACATGTCTCCCTTCTCCTGAAGGTTTGCACCTCACAGTTTAGGTCACCCCCTCTAGACCAATTGAGGTTGCTGCAGGTACATCTATTAACTTCAAATCACCTGAAATATAATATGTCTTTATCTGTATCTTTTACTAACAATGTAACATGAAATCCTTTGAACTATTTGGACAATTGCAAAAATGGTTCACCCTCTGCCACTGCCCACTTAGATCTTCACGACAATGAATATTTTCCTCAAGAAACAAACTTTAGTTAAGACCCTAAGGTAACCAAATTCTTGGTTTTACCTGGTCTCATATAATAAAGAAATTTATTCCATTAATCAGTCGCTCTCTTCAATACCTTCCTGTCCACAGAATATTCCTTTCAGCCTGTACATACACTCAAGTCTCTCCCATCTGTAAGGAAGGTAGAATCAAAACAGTCCTTTCCTGCTGATGGGATCACTTCTAGCAGCTGCACTGTGTTAGCCCTCTCTGCTGCTAAGCATCTTCACTTTCTCTATACACTTTCTTCCTTTATTCTTCACTAATTTAGCCTTTCGAGTATGAGTTCTAGTTTCAAAATTTACTGGGATTTCCCTTGCTGATGTCCCCACTTACCTCCAAATTTGTCAGTTGTAACTGACACTTTTAGTCCTTATACTATTTGACATCTTGCCTGATTTGACTTTTTCTTTTTATCATTTATATCTTTCAAAACTTTCTCATCCCTTGAGTCCCACAACTCCATTCATTGCTGTACCTTCTAGGTCCTCACTCTTACTGTTCTCATAGTCTCTTCTTCTGATTCCTCTTCATCTACCTGCTTTTGCTTTATCAGGGTTTGGTCTTTTTTCACTGTTTCTTCTCTCTAGTTTATCTCCTCTACCCCTCTTGTTTTTAGGAACTGCAGAATCCCAAGTCTGATATGAATGTTCAGAATAAAGTGTGTTACTCCCTATTCACATTGTTGTATTTGATCTAGCAGTTAAATCTAACTCAGAGGGAAGTAACCGAACAGAGAGAGAAACATTTATTTCTGTAAAGAACAATGCCTGTTCCATTGCAACTCACCGTAATCCAGTTAATATTGTTAAACATTGCTTAATGCTCATTCAGCTGAATTTAGCAAACTTTTTTTTGTTATCTATCTATTGCACTGTTTAAAATCCTTTTGGTGAAACAATCTGAAAAACAAAAATTTTCAATATTAGGGACAATGGACTTGTACCTAATTCTAATATGAGATAGAAAAGTATTGCAATAGAAGCACAAAGTGCTATAAGATTGATTGCACTTATTCACTTTGATATGTATACAATATTTTGGGAAGAGTACACAAGAAAGGGGGAGAGTGGTTTTCTGGGGAGGGTCAATGGGTCCTGGAAAATAGGGGTGCGAGAGAAGCTTGTCACTGTTGGCCTTTTAATTTTTTTTTTTTCAAAAAGAAAAATAAGAAAACTAATTCCATAGGATCACAAAGGAGAGGCAGTTGTGTTCTAATGAGGGATTGGGAAGGCTTCTTGATGGAGCCCTGACATGAGCTTTTCCTCTTGGGGAGGTCCCACGTCCTAGCTACAGGGCATATTTTATGACCTTGTGGCATCGTGTACCTACACACTAATCCGTAGGGCATTCTGAGTATCATAAGCAAAGATGTGGCTGGGTTGTGGCTAGTAGCTCAAACTGTGTAAAGAGTTAAATGTTCTGAATACCATAACTTCCACATTAATACAGCCACATGAAACTGAAATGAAGACTCCCAAATTTAGCTTGGTTGTTAGCTAGTGAAGAACAAACATTTTGTAACTCAACCACGGTGAATCTGTGCTGTGTGCATTCAGGAAGGAGAAAATGTCAGTTCTGTCATCTGCCTGAATCTATCCAAATTATCCCATTAAAATGTTAGTTCAATGTCACTTCTAACTAAGGCTTTGAAGTTTGGAGCGAAGAAGTGTCTGGGTCACAATGGATAAGTAAAATCCTGCGCACTTTTTATTATAGGCTAACTTAAGATAATAAAAATGCCCATTTTTCTTTCAGAGCTATTCAGCAAAACTCTATAATTTGTTATTACTAGTGCCCTATTGCTTTTTTAGCAGTCCAATATGAAATTCCATCACTTTCAAATATGTGCGCAGGAGATGGGAAATAATCCCTTCCATATTCAAAATCTCATCTTTCCTGTGCCTTTTTCACTGAGAGCTGCTGTGTAAAAGCCTCTTGGATTGTTTCATTTGAATAAAATGTATTCTTGGGGGAGATGCAAAAAAAGAATGTTTTCTATAGCATTGATTTGCCAGCTGTTTTATATGAGCATTTGATACTAAGCAATACGGAAGCCTTATCTTATTACACTAGGAAAGGAATCTAATGTGA